TGCTCTCCAGAGGACAAGGCCACTACCRATGGTCTGTTCCAGTCTGCAAGGCCTGGGCCTATCCACCCAGGACAGAGAGGCCTGGACTCCAGAGCTTGAGGCCATGTGCTGCCCTCTTCTGGCCTCCTCACTGCCTTCCTCTTCTCTCTGTCCAGGTCTCAGGTACCTGATCATGAGAAGGACATTGATACCTCTTTTCTATCCTCTCCCTGTGTGCCCCCTCCCCTTCCTGGAGTTTCTGCCCAGGAACCCAGGCCCACCACATGTTCCCCTTTGAAGACGTCTGCTTGCCCACCACACATCCTTCCCAATATTTGTTTTTCATGGCAATACTGACTTATGATGCCAGTATTTCTACCCAAGCTGCCGCCCAATGCCATTGACTTGGTATCATCCCAGGGACCAGGTGAGCCAAACACGGGGATGCTCCCAATGGTAAGAATGGCCACCATTGTGCCTAGAAGTAATGCCTAAGACATGGGACAGGTCAGGTCCCTCAGGAGTTTCCCTGACAGTGTCTGTGCATGGCCCCTGTGCAGTCCTCCTGCTATTCACTGGAGACCAGCAGGGCTGGTGAATGTGGTTGATAGTGCTGCAGGGCCAACACTGATCCCTTTACCAGGTGTTAAAGCTCTGGTCTTCTTTCATCATCTGGTGACAATAGGGAAAAAACACATCACTCAGTTGTCTTCCTTGGAATGTCACAATACTGATTGATGGCTGTTATTTAGTGAGTCATCCTGTGGGCCAAAGGCGAGCCTCAGAACTTTCCCTGTTTTCATCATCCCAGTAACTGTACAGGAGGGGCTAGTAGATTCCCAGTTTACCTTTAGGGGCAAATCAAAGAAAAATTGAGTGACCTGTTCCATGTTCAAAGTCTAGGACTCAGAGAGTTGGACTTGATTTGATGTCTGTTTCACTTCCTTCCCCTGCCCAATCCCCTGTGAGGTCAGCTTTATGACCTGGTGATGGTTACATTGATGAGGTCACTGGAAGGCTGCATTGATGAGGCCTTACCTTTGAGAGTCCTCCCCTGACTGCCCTGGGACTCATCTGCCTGGACACCCCATTCTCAAGCTCTCCATAAAGATAGGGTTCAGGGCTTGGAGGATGATCGTCAGTGCCCAGAAATTGTGTGATTGCTACCCAGATGAAACTTCCTGAATCGAGTCAAATCAGGCCCTCATTGGCTGGTGCTTTGTGCATATTTAGTAGGTCCATGCTGGCTGAAAGCCTCTGGATACTACTGATAAGAAGTGGATGCGGAGACCTCTGTTGCCTTTTGACATGCAGCAGGGCATAACCTGGTGATAGAGGCTCTGACATTCCTCCAGGAGGTTGTGGAGCCTCTCCATATTGCAATGCCGCCTCCCTGCCCCCACCCCCCCACACAGCAGTCTTGTGCTCTGGACAAAAGGAGACACCCACCCTGAGAATTCCCTTCAGACAGAAGGGACAGAACTAGATGAACRGCTGTAAAAATGGGGCACCTCAAGCTGAGAAAGGGCCAGAGGCCAAAATTGGACATAGAAAAGAAGCCAGAAATGCCTTCCTGTCCAACGAAGTATGGGTTGGGGATTGGTCTGGCCTT